ATGGATATGGATGGATATGGATGGATATGGATGGATGGATGGATGGATTGATTGATGGATGGACGCTGCGTAAATAAAGGCAGGAGGGGCGCAGCGCCTCCCCCGCACTGCGAACCAAGCATCGACGGCATTTCGGAAAACACGGGGTTGTGTGGTTTTGGTTGCTTGGTTTGTTGGTTGCTTGGTGGGCTACCAACGCAAAGCAAGTATCGACAGCATTTGCGGAAACGTTTGGTTGCTTGGTTTGTTTGCTGCTGGTGGGCTACCCACCCTTTCTGTTTTACTCTCCTTCCTTTGGTTGGTGTGTTGGTTGGCTCGGCCTGCTTGGCTTGTTGTTTGCTTGGATTTGGTTTCTTGTTGTTTGCTTTCGTTGCTTGGTTTGTTGGTTGCTTGGTGGGTTTGTTGGCTTGGCCGCGTTGTTGCTTGGTTGGTTGGTCGGTTGGTTGGCACTCCGTTGATGGATGCATGGATGGATGGATGCTGTGTAAATGGGGAGGGCGCAGCGCCTCCCCTGCAATGCAAACCAAGCCTCCCCCGCACGGGATTTCTAGTATCTGCTGCACTTGGGAGTTATGCGGTTTGGTTGCTTGGTTTGTTGGTTGCTTCGTTGGTTGTTGGCTTGGCCGCGTTGTTGCTTGGTTGGTTGGTCGATTTGGTTGGCACTCCGTTGATGGATGGATGCATGGATGGATGGATGGATGGATCCTGTGCTGCCTCGCGTTCCGGAGGCGTCTGGGTCAGTTTCCGGCGGTTCCCGTCGTTCCGGACAGTCTCTACGCAGTTTCCGGAGGGTTCCGAAGGGCTAGTAACAAGAAGCTATTGAGGTGAAAACAAAGGGTTTGGCAGGCGCAGGGACAAGCGGTGTCAAACAAACCGGAGGTGACATCGTTCTCTGCGCAGGTTCCAGGAATTACCTGCTTCACCGGCGAACGGTTGAATAGAAAGGGTCGAGGGTGAAAAAGAAAGGGCGAAGGGTAAAAAACAAGGTGAAGGGTGAAAGAAACATGCTACAGGGTGAAAATGACAGGGCGCAGGGTGAAAATAAAAGGTTTTGGAAGGGTGGAAAAAAAAAGGTTCCAAAGGGTGAGGAAAAAGGAATCTTGAGGGTGATCAAAAAGGTTTCGAGGGTGGGGAGAAAAGGGATGGTGAAAAACACATTATTCAAGGGCGAAAAAAAGGGAGCCCGAATGTTTTGGAGGACCCACTGTGGGCGTCACTCCGACTCAGTCTCAGCCAATTCCGACATCCGCTTGAGAGGAAATACTCTCAAGAATTGAAATACTCCGATCAACCAACCTGCCACCCGAAATACTCTCCCGCCACCGGTTTCTTCCCCTCTCGTCCACCTTCTCTCCCACTCGCCAACCAGGAGACGTGGGCGGCGCTCGCCGCGGAGCGGGCGGAGGCGTCGAGTAGGGCGAGGCTGATCGGCACGGGGTGGTCCGACTGCGTGGCGTGGCCTGCGCGAGGTGCGTGGACTGCATGGAGTTCGGAGAGCGCTGTCTGCGCAAGGATGAAGGATGGAGGAAGACTCCTGGATGGAGTCTTCTGCGCGGGACCAAACGCAGTGGCTTTTCATTGCGAAAATCTTCTGTTTCTGAAAGTGATGTCTTACTCTACACTGCTGCACTCTCCTCTTAATCATGTTCTGTACATTGAATCAGCAACGCGGAAGCTGTCTATTAAAACTTCTTTTGACCATAGAGTATACCATAACTAGACTATAAGCGAAAATACCTTGCTTAGCTGAGCATTTGGAGGAGAAACTGCCTATGCAATCCCAAAGACCTTCAATCGTGCTGAGCACCAATCGAAAACAACTTTAGAAACTACTACTCTCCCTGGAACTAACATGGAAGTGGAAAGGCCCCACTTAACTTCCATGAGAGTTTCAGGGGTGCATATGTATACATGAAAACGAGGTTTCGACGTTTCGGAACGCCTTTTCACCTTGAGCCAAAACACGTCATGAGTCACGTGTCTGCAGTACTCTAGCGGAGTATTTATGGGCTGTACATGCAAACACTCCTCCTCTTGCAAAGCACTGTACTGCTGCGCAAGCTTCAAGAAAGTATGTGAAACTTCCCGCTGCTGAGCCACTTTCAGTTGTGGTAGTGGAGCTTGGCCAGGGACCTTACTCCAAAACATCCAACTGTCCTTTGCTTCGCTTGCTGAGGAATGCATACTGCAGGTCCTCCATTGTTTTGCGAAGCTGCACCCCAGAGACCGATTTGGTCAACACATCGGCTTTGTTCTTGACACCTGGAACGTGGTGCACTTTCAAGTGGCCCTCGGCAACCCTTTCTTGCAACCATAGGTAGCGAGTTTGGATGTGTCTGGCTTTACCCAAACCCACTCGGTTCACAGTTCCTTTGGCTGCTTTGGAATCGCCCTCTATGGTGACTCCCAAATCCAAACCAAGATCTGCGCATAGGCTTTGGAGGCCTAAGCCCACAGATCCGCCCTTCACGAGTGCGTAGTATTCGCTCTCGCCTGTGGAAAGGGCTATGGTGGATTGGATGTTACTGCTGTGTTTCAACACGTGTGTGCCATAAATGGCAACCATGCCAGTCGTGCTCTTGCGTGTCACAGCATCTCCACCGTGGTCGGCGTCGACCTGGACCCTCAGCCTTGAGGGTACCTGCTGTGAGCCAAAACATTGCCCAACATCAGGGCATTTCTTCAAGTACCTGATGAGACGTTTCAAGTCTGCAAGTTTGGCTTCTGTTGGCGACACCAGTCGATCTTGGGACAGATACGCAGCACGCATCGTAGCTGAACGATACTTCGATGCCTCGCTCTTATCAAGCAGCGGACTGCGGCTTTCCAGCATCTGCTGATCTGCCGACTTCTTGACATCTGGTGATTCCACACCATTTGCCTTTTCCAGGCCAAATGCCTGGATCAAAAGATCAACGTGTCTCCGATCGGCTTCGATCACAATTGATCCTTTGCCGTTCTTCTTTTCGACTCGGATCAACCGATTCAGAAAATGGGCTTCTGTTCGGTCTCCATCCTCGTCTCCAAGAATTCCGAGACATTTCAGCTCATAGGCATCTTTGAGGACTTGGCTGAGCTTCTCCAAGTGTTGGGCGTCTCCAAGTGCTAGGAAGTCATCTCCATGCACCATCACTCTGACATCCCAAGCTTCTTGGTAGAAGACTGACGCGTTTGACAACCCTCTGCGGAAAGCCAGCCTTCTGCAGAGTCTCTGTGTAGTGCGTCTGCCAGATATTTGGAGCGTCCTGTGTCCCATACATCGACTTCACGAGAAGTCCACAGGTTTGTCCATCTTTGCTGGCTTCGTCCTCAGGCGGCAGCTCTATGTAGATCTTTCTCTTTGGAGTTCCATAAAAGTGTGCTCGTGAGATGTCCCACAAGCCCAGCTTCAGCGGCTGGTTGTGGCAGGACTTTCTCTTTGTTGCCCACAACGAGCACAGCAGTCTCATCGCCTCCAATGGGGGCGTGCTGCTGAAAAGCAAGTTGGCTGGCAATTGTTGTTCTTTGGTCTTTCTTGCCTTTACCTCACGCACAACTAATCGGCTCCTGTAGTTCGGGTTTGTTGGATCTCCCTTGTTGGTGTCCAACCATCTGACTGGAATCGGGGGCTTCCCCGTTTCCTCAAAACATTCGGCTCTCGGCCGGGGCACATAAACGCCATGCTTCTCTTTCAAGTAGTCCATCTCAAGGCGTCTGGCCTCCTTTACTTTCTCGGCTGGCAAAATGCCGCCGTTCACATCATCCATGTAGACCTCTTCGAACTCTGGGTCCATCAGAGGCATCTCTGGAACTGGGGCTGCTGCGAACAGATCGAAGGTGTTCAACTCACCTTTCTCTGCTAGCGTGTCACGCAGGCTCCTCAGCACTGCTTTCACAAGCTGCGGTGGGTATACCGCTGCCTGCCTAGCAATGCCTCCGATCAGATGGATGTGTCGGTGCCATGGTCCTTTGCCCGATTCATTCGACTCCTTGCAAGACTCGGCGAGTCCTCTTCGGTCGGTGGCCATCATCTGCCACCTGCACATTGGACCTTTTACCACAAACACACCATCCTCTTTTGCTAAGGCCTCAACCTTCTCATCCTTCCAGCTGGTTGCGGCCCATGGTGCCTCATGGAGGAATTTTCTCCCTGAGCGATGCTGCTTGACATACAGCTCTACGCTCGTATGAAGATGATGGACGGCTTCGTCCATTTTCCTCCTCCTGACATCCGGTGCCATGTTTCTCCAGTTTAGATTCTGGAGCTGCGAGAACATATGGCACGGAGGCGAACCAGTCAAGAGAGCCGGTTCGTCTCTCTCTAAGATGTCGTGCACCTCTTGGACATCTTTGGACTTGTTCAAGTCCCAGTATGTTCCATCACTTTTCATTTCATTCAAGTCGACCGCGAAGCCCGGTCGCAACTTGTACCGCTCTGCAAGCGCGGTGAACCTCTTGGGCGAGTAGATTTCCATGACATCTACTGCTGACATCTGCATGCTCAAATGCGCGATGTCTCCGATCTCTTGCTCAGTGATCTCGATGCCATTTGCCTCATAGGTTCCTTGAATGATCTTCTTCAGATGCTGCTTTGCGATCTCCTTCTCTTTTACCAAGCTTGCTGCATCTGGCTTCCACCCTGCTGGTGGTGTTTCTGGAACATGTGAAAACTGAGACGTTTTCTTTGGACTCTCTTCCACTCTGGGATCCAGGTCTTCTACGGCAGTCTCTGCCGTCCTCTTTGTTCCTTGGGCTGGATTCGGCTTGACCTTTGCCCCGGGTGGATCTATCCTAAGTTCTCCTGTTCCTGTTGCTACCTTGGCTTTCGCCACTGGTTTCTTCTCCATCTCGGCTGCTTGTCTCTTCATCTCATATCGCTCTTTCGGGTCATCGGGATAGGTCTTCTCACCCTCTGCCGCTGCTGGCGGCGGGCTTCCCGATCCTGCGCTCTTTGCTTCTTCCTTCTTCTCTGGTTCTCCGGCCGCGTCTTCGGCCGTGATGTCGGTGTCCTTGTCGGCCACGACTTTCGGCTTCACAGTGTCGAGCTGTTGCCGTTCTTTCCTCTTCTTTGCATGGGCATCAAGTCTCGCTTGCCCAGCTTCATCCTTTTCCATCGCTTCGGTGATCCTTGCTCTGCACGCCTCTGTGTGTGGCAAGGTCGTCCTCTTGTCTTCCAAGATGCACCTGCATCCTGGGCAGCCTTCTGTGGCTCCATGCTTGTGCACATCCTCTCTCCTGATGTACACTCGCCTCTGCTGTGGTGGTGCCACTCGTTCCTCCTTGGGAGGTGGTACCACAAGACGCTCTTCGAGCATCAGCTGCTCACCGGCAGGCCTTGCCGCGGAGTGCTCCCACGGTAAGCCCCGCAAAAGGTCCCAATCGCTTGGGTCCCAGCGGTCGGCTGAACTCAGCCGCCGGATTCCTGTGCCTCTGCGCACGCCATCGGCCTTCATCACCAAAATGGATCCTGTTCGGCCATGGTGACCTCTTCTTTCAGGATGCGAACTCCCTCGCCAACTTCTCTAAAGTATGGGCGTTCACCAAAAGCTATGGCGGGTTTTTCGCCATTGCTTTCCACATCTTCTGGCCTCGGGCGTTCTGCCGTCTTGGCCTTTCTTGTACCTGCTCAACAGGTCTCCCGCCTGCCTTGGCAGCCATGCCAATGCAGGATCATCATCTTTGAGCTCTTTGCCGAGCTTCTCTTCCAACGCGCTGCGGAGGACTCGTACTTGACGTTTGACCTCCTTGCAGGCGTTCTCTGCCAGACCATTCGCTTGATGGTCTCCTACTGGCGACTCTTCCGAAACCCAGTCTATGCTGGTTTCTTTCGCTGCTGCCTCTTTCAAGGCTACCACGGATGGCTCGCCATCCGACTTGAGAACCACCTTGCGGTGTCCCAAGTTCTTCAAGAAGTTCGCCACGAACTTCACTGCATACGGCGTCGCTCCCTTCGAATCCACGAAGGTCGCCGCTAAGGACTGTGTCCTCTCATCTTTCACCACGAGGATCGGCTTCACTCGCTCGTCCTCCACACCGCCCCGTGACATGAACGTGTAGTCCATTGCCACTGTGGGCACAAGGCTCTTTGCCTTCTGTTCCTCGGACCTCGTCCGATGCGGCTGTCCTACAGCCCGTCCAGCAATGCAATGCCGGCACCAATTTCGATACTGCACATGGCCTGTCGCCTCGCGCTCTTCGATCTCAGCCGGAGTTGGATCCTCCGGAGCTCTTATCTGGATGGGTTTCTCAACCTCATCAACTAATTCCAACTCATCATCTTCTTCCTGCCTCTCTGGACCAGGTCGGCCTGAATCCATAGAGACATCTCCTCTTTCTCCTGCGGCGTTCAACTCTGCAATGCCACAGCATTCCTTGGTCGGTTTATACCCTGGCTTTCTCAAGTAGAAATTGTGCACTCCCTGCTCTTGATACACAGGGATCCAACTTCGCTGCTCTGCAGCGTTCGCTTTCTCCAGGATCGCCTGAACAGCCTTTCCAACTTTGGACCCTTGTGGAATCAAGTTTCCGCCATTCACATCAAGAACTGCAATCCTTCCAAAGCCTAAGCATTTGGATGCTGAAATCAATGGCTTGTGAACATCGGCCATTGAGCCTTTCACACGGCATTTGTTGCCGCTCTCATCGAACCCTTCAAAGGTTCCAATGCCCTGACTGGGCACCAACTCTCCTGATGCAGTCTTGAAAACAACCCCGTTGCCTTCACTGACAACCACTCTGTCCTCCCAGCCATTCGGGATGGCTGTCTGGGCTGCTCCAGTGTCCAGGTTAAACTTCATCCATTCTTCGGCGGATGAAGTATCCGCTATTCCAATTCCACTCAAGTCTGCCATGAGCATTCCGACATCTGCTTCCGGAGCTGGCTCAATGCCATCATCCGGATCGTCCATCTCTTCCATACTTCCTGCGGCTTTATCTTTGCCGCCCTTTCCACCTTTGCCTTTGCTGCCTTTGCCACCTTTGCCACTCCTGTCTCCTTTGCCTGAACCTGACCATTTATCGCCTTTTCCATCCGGCCGTTTCTTGCTCCAGCAATCGGCCGCTCTGTGTCCCTTCTTACCGCAATTGTAGCAGGTGATATCTTGAGCCGGGTTTGAGCCTTTACTTGAGCCTCCTTTGCCTGAGCCTTTCTTTCCATCACCTTTGGCCTGTTTACCTTTTCCTTTACCTTTTCCTTTGACTAGGCTTGCAACCCATTGTCCGATCGAATCGACGTCCATGGGTTGAGGTCCTTGATAACTAGAACTCGATGAACCTGGTTTTGGAACAGATGACTTTGATGTAAGAGATGATTCAATGACAAGTTCAATCTCCTGTTTGGTCAATGAATAGGTTGTCAATCTACTCTTGTTCAACAAAAGATGTTTCTCCAAATCTGGGGGTACCAACATCTCCAATGAAGCGGACTTGATGTCGTCCGATAGAGTCTCTCTTATTCCTGCGGCACTCCTCCGGGACTCGTACCGCCTGATGAGTTCCTCGAGCTGTTCGATTGCTGGCCTCACCGCGGACCAGGTTTTGACTCGTTCAGGTTGGAGAATTGCTCGAAGTATATTACGCTTCCGTCCCGAAGTTCGGGGACCCCAACGACGGTGAACCCGTCGATATGCTTCAAATCCATTTGAAGCTCCTACCATCAAATCCTCTGTTTCACCTGAGGTCAGGGTCAGGAGGACGCGATGAATTTGATCAGCTTTATCCTCTAGATCATCGATGGCTGCTATGGTACCAGTCCCAAACGCGGACTCCATAGCACTCATTTCAATCGCGTCTTCCTGCTCCAAAATATACTCAAGAACTTCAATGAACTCTCTCCCAAAAGTGGATATGAACAGGTTATCGATGCTCCTAGCCCACTTTCGGAATTCCCCTTCAACGTTCCCAAAACTCTCAGGGCGACCCAACCCTTTGGTGTCCGTAAGTATTTGGGACTTTCGTCTATTTTTCTCAAGGCTCCTAGCCAGTTCTCCTACTACTGAAGCCAACATCGATACCCCACCTTGGGATTCTCTCAATACCTGGTTCTCTTGCTCCAACCGTGCCTGGTTTTGCTGGAGTTGCAAAACCATATCAGACAACTGTTGGACCTGTTGTTCCAAAGCCATGGTTCCCCAATCTCAGGCGCTGCTCTCGCACCTTTTCAGCTGCGGACGATTCGTCCGATCTCCGGCCCCTTACCAGGCCGGTCCAAGGGCTTTCACCCTTGGGAAGGTTTGGAAGCTTTTGGCACTCCACGGACCTCGATGGTGGTCCGTGTCAGCTCTTCCGGATTGCGGCCTACTGTCGGTGTGGCCTTTGCTTTGGCCTTCTCTTTTGGTGTGGCCTTTGCTTTGGCCTTCTCTTTTGGTGTGGCCTTTGCTTTGGCCTTCTCTTTTGGTGTGGCCTTTGCTTTGGCCTTCTCTTTTGGTCTTGGCGTCAAGTTCACCTTTGGCGCCGCCTTTGCCTTGGCGCTCGATCCAAGCCGAGCAGGGCCCTTAAGTCCCCGTCGCTTGATGTAGTCCTGAACCACAGGCAATTGTGCCTGTCTTCGTTCGTCACAACTACTACAGTTACTACAGGCCTCGTTGGACCCTCTCTTTCCTTGGTCGTTGGGGGTCTTCCAGAGTTCGCGAATGGCGGCCAATGCAACGGTACCTTTAAGGCCTCGCTGCTCAACAAGTTCGTCGGCCGCAATCTTTCGCACTTGGAATGGGCTCTCTAATTTCCAATTTTCAATCGGCTTTCGCTGGGCCCGCTCGTTGGCTAGGGTGACAATGCGGAGGTTCAGCTCCAGCGCACGCCCCCAGACCGCCCGTCCACGCTCGGTGTTCCTGGCTTGCGGTCGCTTGGCCGGCGGTGGCCCGTCCGGTGTTCGGGGCTGCGGAACCGGACTCGGTAGGCTCAACGACTCTTCCTCTTCGACCTCCTCCTCGGCTGAATCAGCCGCTTCACTCTTCTCTGAGGTCTTCCTCTTCTTGATCCGCTTCTCCTGATTGCGGACCTTCTGTTCTTCCCGCTCTTCTTTGATCTCGTGCGGCGGGCGCTCCTTGCCGAAATCCTTGATGCGCCTCGTCAAGTCTTCTGTGATAACACCCTGCTTCTTCTGCAACCTGACCAGGTCCTTGAGCTTCCGATACTGAAGCGAAACCTTGCTTCGAAGTCGGAATCCGGACTGTGGTTCCGGGTGCTTCTTGACTTGGCCCCAAATCTGTTTCTTCACCTGCTTCCTCCAAGGTGCCTTAGGATCGACTTTGGCTGGGGTATACTTGGCGTGAATGCCACGAACTTCCCAACCTGTTTTGATACCCTCCGGGGATGTGATGAAGTCGGCGATAACTCTGCCAGATGACGGCTGTGCGGCTGGATCAGCCGCTTCAGCCCCTGGCTCAACTGTTGGATCTCGTTCAGGCTCTTCTTCTTCTCCTGGGCCTTCTGTCCCTTTTGTGTTTTCCTCTTCTTCTTTTGTTTCTGCGGTCTTCTCAACCGCTGAAGTTGTTTCGGCGGTCTTCTCAACCGCTGGAGTGGTGCTTGCGGCTGGATCCGCCGCTGATGTGGCGGGCAAAGGCTGGTGCTCCTCCTCCTCTTTTTCCTTCCTTCCTTCTTCTTTTCCACTCGGGGCGGCAGAAGCTGCCGCTCCCGGGGATTCCAGCTCCTCTTCTTCGGAGCTCTCGACCTTACTGTGTCTTTCTTCCTTTATGGACAGCGCTTTGTCCCTGTCACTTTCACCGGACTCGTGCGCTACCATGAAAACGAGGTTTCGACGTTTCGGAACGCCTTTTCACCTTGAGCCAAAACACGTCATGAGTCACGTGTCTGCAGTACTCTAGCGGAGTATTTATGGGCTGTACATGCAAACAATACAGTGTATATATATATATATGTATTTTTTATTATATCATATCTCTCATGGGTTTCAGGTTTCTCAAGTCTTATGTCGTCCGAAACCGCGTCTGGTGACCCGAATTCCGTCCGACTTCCGGGAACGACCATGAAAAAAGATGGGAACGACCTGGTCTGGGTGTGTTTTTCGTGTAAAAGCCTGCAGTTGATTCGGGATGACCCGCAGTTGAGCCAAATGAATGGTGGGCCGGGTGTCCGCACCCACTGCGGGTAGACTCCGTGGTCGGGGGAGGGCGAGGAGGGCCCCTATTCCGTGCCGGCGAGGGAACACCGGTGTCTTCTTCCAAGTCGCTGTGGGAGAACGAGGGGATCCACAGTCTGGTGATGTCAGTTTACACCTGGGCCGGCTGGTTCTTCGGCCACCGCTGGGCCCTGCGGTTTTTCGGTCTGACCGCGGTCTGGACGACGGTCTGGTGGAGCCGGAAGGGCTGGGGGAGCCCTGCCGGCTCACCAAAGCAGTCTTTCTTGGGAGCCCTGCCATCTTCCCAAAGCAACAAAGAGAATTGATCTCCAACAACTGGGATCGCGCATCAGTACCTTGTGAGGCCCTCTGAAGGTGATCATGAAGCTCACCCACGTCCATCCTCAACCAACCCTGCACCAAGGCGATCGAAAGGCAACTGCGCACCTACAAATCACCTCTCCCTAGGAACGCTGAACAAAAAATATCTCATGTCAATGACTATAACCCTGTCAAACCCCATCCCAAGTACCGTCCGGGATGAGAGTCTCACAACGACCGTTGATGAACCTCAACAGGGAATCAGCCACCCCGCTTGCCGGACAGCAACGCAGCCGCCGGACAGTCCCCACTCGGCAATTCATGGCGTTTGGCCAGGGTGGAGGCCATTGCTACTGGGGTGGAGGCCTCATCTCGTCTCATTCGTCTCCTGTCGAGCGACTCATCCAGTGGCCCTTTCACGCAAGGAACGCCAACAGCCTTGCGAACATAGGAAGCAGTTGCAGCGAAGTGTCGCGGCGTCCGTCCGACTCGGAGGAAAGGGCGCAGGGCTCCGTGGTCGGGGTGAAAGGGTTTTTTCCCGAAAGCATTGCGAAGAGTTCTTCCGGAAAATCTCTTGAACACTGACACTTCTACACTTACACTTGAACACTTACACTTCTATACTCACAATGGCACAGAAGTATCCAAGTGAACGCTTGTAAGTGAAAGTATGCAAGTGTCAGTATCCCATTGTAAGTATAAGAGTGAAAGCATCCAAGTGCAAGTGTGCAAGTGTAAGTATCCCAGCGCAAGTATGCAAGTGTGAGTATTGAAAAAACTTTCACGGGAGATATCCTAATGAAAAACATTTCCCCACTTTTATAAATTCTCTTTAAAGGCGGAGGGTGGGACGAACAGCGTCAACCGAAAACGCAACCCTCTGCGGAGATCGTGCGCGTCGAGCGCGCGAAATGCAGGCGAGCGTGCGATTTGTCCGTGGCGCGCGCAACCCTCAGCGGAGATGGTGCGTGTCGAGTGCGCGAAATGCAGGCGAGAGTGCGATTTGTCCGTGGCGCGCGCAACCCTCTGCGGAGATCGTGCGTGTCGAGTGCGCGAAATGCAGGCGAGAGCGCGACTTGTCCGGTGCCCGCGCAACCCTCTGCGGCGCGCGCAATGCAGGCGAGAGTGCGATTTGGTCGGTGCCCGCGCAACCTCTGCGGAGATCGTGCGTGTCGAGCGCGCGAAGTGCAGGCGAGAGCGCCACTTGTCCGGTGCCCGCGCAACCCTCTGCGGAGATCCTGCGCGTCGAGTGCGCGAAAGGCAGGCGAGAGCGCAATTTGTCCCGTGCGCGCGCGTATTACAACTTTAGTACGCGGAGCAAGCTGTGGAGCTGGAAGCTGAGAACTGGCGACTTTGTAGTACAACTTGAGTACGCGGAGCAGCTGGGGAGCTGGAAGATGAGAAGTGGCGACTTTGTAGTGCAACTTTAGTGCGCGGAGTATCGGGGGAGCTGGAAGATGAGAACTGGCGACTGTCCTAGAGTGAAGGAAACGTTACCTCTGACCGTATATCGATGGACACATCTCCTCTTGTCACAGGTCACTGCTTCGCAAAACTTGTTGCGTAGCTGCCTCAGCAATTTTCTATGTTCCATTCCAGCTCGGTTTGTTCGGTGAGATTTCCTGGAGGCGTGAACGCTCAAGGAGTGGACATTCTGAGGTGGATGCAACGTCTCAGCGAGGTCCGGGCTCTCAGACAGAAGAATATACTATTTCCCTTTACCAGCAGCTCAAATGCTCTCGAAGATGAGCTGAGCTGTCACCGCTTGGCCGCCGGTGGGGGGTTTGGGAGGCCTGTGCGCTACTTGGTTCACTATATTTACAGTGAAGAACTTCACCATTTGCCCTTACCAGCAGCTCAAATGCTCACGAAGATGAGCTGAGCTGTCACCGCTTGGCCGCCGATGGGGGGTTTGGGAGGCCTGCGCGCTACTTGGTTCACACCATTTCCCCTTACCAGCAGCTCGAATGCTGGCGACCTTGAGCGGAGCTGTCGCCGCTTGCCCGCCGGTGAGGGAGTTACAGCTTTGTGTCCTTGGGGCCACAGAGACCCACAGATTGAGAAACATTGTTCACACGACGTACGTGGAAAGACATACGGAAACATCATCATTTGCACCCACACCATAGAAAGACATACAGACAGAGACACATACACAAACAGACATAGATACACACACAGAGACCCACACACTCCTCAACACACTCCACTTAACACTTCACGCTGAACACTTAACACATAACTCACACTCTGACTTCACACGTGATGAAAAATGCTTTCGGGCCACTCGTCGTCTAGTTCTGGATTCCAATGGTGGCCAGGCATGGTGAGGCAGATGTGAGGGAACACAAGGGCATCGTTGCTAGGAACAAGGGCATCGCTACTAGTAGCTTCTAGCTACTAGTAACAATGCACTTTATCATGTGAGCATTGCTCAAAACCTATCGAGAGTTTGTTCTAATGGGCTCTTCTTTCGCAAGTTCCCTTCGCAACTCATGTCGCCGTTCAATCCGAATTGAAAGCGCGCAAACCTGAGCGGACCGCCGACCACCTTCGCACGTCATCGAATCCCGTCGAAACCCGTCATCGAAACGGGGTGCCGCCGTCGAAACCCATGCCATCCACTCCATCCACCACTGGATCCACCCATCTGCTCGATCCACGTGTCAACAGTCTGCCCCGGCCTGTGTCTGGAACAGTCTGCCCTGCCCGGACCACCACGGAGCGGTCGGTCCAGCATGTGACGGTGGACCGAAGGTGGGAAGAAGGACCACGCCCACGGCCCGTGTCTATTTCGAACGCCCCTACCAGGACGGACCCACCCATGTCGGGACACTCCATGTCTACCACCCCGAATCAAGGCCCTGGTAGAAAATGAACGGTTCTTTTCTTTTCGGCTCTTGATGGCTTCAAGATACCTTCGATCGGATGTTCAAAGGATGAAAAGGTAGAGAAACCCCGTGGCTGCCATTGGGGGAAAAAAAGCCGGTGTCACCCGCTGGCGCGGACAATGGTTTTGTGTGCGGCATAAAAAACAAACCATCTCTTCCGCCCAAGAGGTTTCTTGGTGTTTTGCGCGACGAACGGATGGAGCGCAGGTGTTTCATGGTGTTTTTGAGCTCGTCTTCGCTTCCGATGACTTTCCGCTCCGCTCCGGAGCTCCGCGCTCCACGGTCCGAGAGACGGACCCCGCGACGAGAAGAACGGAACGTGGCGCACACGCGCTCTCCGACGGCATGACGAGTAACATAAACCGGAAGCGAGTCGAGGTCGTGTCGTCACAAGAGGGGAGTCGAGTTCGTGTCGCCAACAGTGATGCCAACATATGCCAATACATGCCCAGGGTGTGGAGAACCAAGAGTGGACTCCCCACACCCAAACCGGTGTTGGGTCTAGAGTCTATCCTTTTGGCAGGGGGGTCGTTACCTGGGAGGTCTCCCTATTTCAAGACAAAGACCTCATTTTACTGGAGTTGGTCATGCAAAAAAAACAATACTTAATAGGAGGTAAAAGACGAGGCTTTACCCGGAATGGACTTGTGAAGCTGTGATGTCAAGACATTTGATGCCTTGATTCTCACCCTTTTCCGGCCAATCAACTGCAGTCAATCGACTGTCGAGTGGCAACTCGACGTCGGGTGCAGCTGTCAACGCAACGAAAAAGTGCTCGATCAACACCGTTTGTTCTTCGCCCCCACGCCAATCAACTGCGAAGTCTTAAGGGCTTAGGTTTTAAGCTTTAAGATCTTTATTGCTCCTTCAAGCATGTCATCTGTTCACCCTGAGATTCTCATGGCTTGGAATGCAACTACATGAACCCTCGAACCGATGCGGGAGCTGTTACTTCAGGCCAATCAGCGATGGCCTCCAACCTCATAGCAATGGATAGCAATGGCCTCCAACCTCATAGCAATGGCCTCCAACCTCATAGCAATGGCCTCCAACCTCATAGCAATGGCGGCCTCCAACCTCATAGCAATGGCGACCTCCAGCCTCATAGCAATGGCGGCCTCCAACCTCATAGCAATGGAGGCCTCCAACCTCATAGCAATGGAGGCCTCCA